ATGTTGGAGGAAGACTAGGCATTTTGTCAATATTAATAGGTGTTTGATTTTCTCTCTAATGTATAATTAAAATTTTTTAAGAAGTAAAGGATTTAAAATGTTTTACATAGATTTGGCCTTATCGAACAAAACTGATGTCATTTTTTGGTAGTACAAAATGTAATTCCCATCGGGTTCCCAATCAAGACTGAACAATATAGTTTACAAAAATATTTTAGAACATATAGAACTAATCCAGCAAATATTGACCACCTACTATATGTGAGCCACAGTATTAGAAAATAGAGATACAACAGTGAAAATACGCCTCAAGGTGCTTATGGTCTAGTTGGGAAAATAGAACATTTAATAAATAATTACGATAGTGGGGAAAGAGCCAGGGTGTGGGCTTGGCGTGGTGGGGAATACATGGCCCACCTAATCTAATCTAGATCTTTCTCCTGTGAGTTTCTGTAAGCACCATAAGTATCATCTAGGATATTGTTAGAAATGCCGAATCTCAGTTCCAACGCCACCCATCCTAAATGCGAATCTTCATGTTAGTAAGATCCCCATGTCCTTTGGATGTACATTAAAGTTTGAGCCAAGCCAGGTAGTAGGGGAAACACTCAGAGAAAGTATCATATAAAATGGACTCCCAAGTGGCACTGTGGTTAGTTTTTGGAGAATAAAGGTAAAAGGTATTGGAAACGGAGAGACGATTGTCCTCTGAATCAGATCTACAGCTTAGGCTGCTGGTTGGACAAAGAAGGTGTCGGGGAGAAGGGGAATGATTTCAGTTGGAGGTGTGTTGTGTTTGATGTGCTTTGAGACTTGTTCTGAAGGTAGGTGCTTAACAGAAAGATGGACATAGGAGTCTGGAGATCAGCAGTTCTCTGCTGGAGTTACTGATTGGAAATTGGTAGTATATTGATAGTAACTAAAGTCAGATGTGTGGAGGATTGCTCAAGGAAAATATGTGAGGTGAAGCATTTAAAAAAGTCAGTACAGTCCTTGGAAACACTAACATATAAAGAGATGTCGACAGTTAAGAGAAGGGCACATAGAGGGAGAAGCAGGAGCTGAGATGCCTTTTGGAGGAAGGGATCAATAATAATGTTGTCTTAATTTGGGTTCCCCTACAAGAGCCCAAGTAAAGGATTCGGGTTGTCCTTCTGGCAAGGACGGGGTTGCATGGGGCCTCAGCAGGGTCAGCTACTAGTGTTCAGTGCTGCTCAGGCACCAAGTAAGTGTGTCTGTGCAAAGTATCTACTAACCATTGGGACATCACTTAAATGCAAGAGTACTATTAGTGGAGTAGAAGGAATGGAGGCTACACTTCCATGTTGAAAGTTTTAATGAGCAGTAGACAGTGAGGTACTGAGTGGAGACCACTCTTTCAATAAATTGATGGAAAAATGGAAGAATGGAAGGAAAAAATTGGGAGGTAGATGGAGGGCTTCTTGTTCTCACTTGAGAGCCCTTTTTTGAAGACAGGAAAGCATGTCGTGAGTGAGAAACTGGACTCAGATGGCCTAGGTTCAGATCCCGCCTTCAGCTCTAATTGGCTGTGTAAGTTTCTACAGGTTATTTTAATTCTCTGTGCCTCAGCTTCATGATCTGTGAGGTGAAGAAAACGGTAGCAATCCCATGAGGCTGGAGTGAGGATTAGATGAGCCACTATGAGGGAACTGTTTAGTTGAGTGGCTGGAAAATAGCTTGTGATATCCAAGGGTTAAATACTATTATTGTTATTATTAATCATTTTAAATGAAAGGTGAGTGTATCAAAAAGCTATTTGAACGTATGTAAAGCATTCAACAATAAAGATAAGTTTAAAATTGTTTTTTAAAAAGCTGTTTGGCTAGAACCAATGCATAGAGAGAAAGTTGAAGTTATAAAATAGACAACATAGCATATAGGCTAATGTTCCTGAGGAGGGGATATTCAAATAGTTACAAGGGCAAATAGAAGAAATAATAGATATCTTTCTAAATGAGTTAATAGATGTTCTTGTATGACAGCTTCTACTTCTTTTTGAAATTTTAGGTGAGGTCCTCACCTGTGGGTGAATGAAATTGTTGGGGAGGGAAATAGCGGTGCTTAGAGGAGCCGCCTGTTTCTCACAGTGGCTGTGCCAGTCGCATCCCCACCAGCTGTGAATGAGGGTTCCCTTCTCCCCACATCCTCGCCGGCACTCGTCATTCATCACCTGTCTTGTTGATAATGGCCATTCTAACAGGTGTAAGGTGGTGTCTTGAAATCTAAATGATCTTATGAACCCATGTCACCCCAATAAATTTGATATTCAAGAGAGTGTTTAGATAGCCAGAATGTGTTAAATGGTCCTATTGAAAAATGAGAGTGTGATTAGGTTATCTTAGTGAGTCAATCTGTAATTAAGGATCAAAATCATTTTCCTACACACACACACAAGGAAAAAGTGCAATAATGAAGATCCAAGACATTTAGAGCAATAAAATACTCTAAAGGATTTCTAAAATACTCAAGCACAGATTTAACTCTATTATAATGACTGTTTCAATTTCTAGCAATCACTTATATCCTTGACTTTTATTCTATAATTACTAAAACATTAACTTTCTAAGAATGTTTTATAAGAACAATTTATTTACTTGGTAATTAAGCATTTTCCTCTAATTCCTAAATACAGTGACCTCTCGTTGTTAAACAGAGCTACACTAACCTTTGGAAAACTTTTTGGAATCTGGCCATTTTCAAGCCAAACTAAAATAATAAAATGAAGGAAATAACCATGTAGTTGTAAAAAATTCTCAAGTTTTGCCCCAGCCGGTGTGGTTCAGTTGGTAGGAGCATAGTCCCACACACCAAAAGGTCACAGGTTCAGTTTCTGGTCAGAGCACATACCTAGGTGTCTGTTCCATCCCAGGCCCCAGACCTTCCCCCCACCATAAAAATCAACGAAAAAAATGTCCTTGGATGGTGGTTAAAGAAATTCTCAAGTTTTTTTTAATTCTTGATTTTATTTTTAGATATATGAAAGTGTGATACATTATAAACTATCGGCGTGGATAGCTCGAGTTTCCAGAAGTGAGAGAGCAAGTGTCTGGTTATAATGGAAGTGCTCACTCTGGAGGGAAGAATAAGTGTTTGTTTGGTAATATTTTCCTCAGGATTTTAAGATCATCTGTTGTCATTTTGAAAGCCTTACAGGCCAAGTAAATGCTTACTATCGCCAAAGCTTTCGTCATATCTCAAAGGCTGAGNCACTACCGCCAAAGCTTTCGTCATATCTCGAGGCTGAGAAATTCGCTCTTACAGAGAAACCAGCTTTCCAAACACAAAGAATGCAGGCTACAGAAGCGCCTGGCTGCGGGTCCGCAGAGGAGCACCGCGCCCACTGCTTTCCTCCTGTGCCGCTTCCGCTCGCCTCTTTCCGTTGAACATCGCAGTCAAAGTTAGGCATGTTAGGCACACTGCTTAAAATAACTTCTAGAAATTACCAGAAACCTGTGTTTGCTCAAAGAAAAGTTTTCCCCAGTGAGTGTAAATGGATGATTCAGTCCTGCCGTAAACATTTCAGAAATAACTTGACCAATTCATTTGCATACCCTGGTGTCCGAATAAAGGAGCCCTCATGACAAAGTTGCGTTTCACCGGCGGCCTCGCTGAGCTCGCACAGGGAACCCGCAGGCATGTGCGTGCTGTGTAAGGAAAGCTCGCGGGGAACGAAGGCCCGGACTGCGGGGCCGCTGTTTCTCCTGAGCCGCGCCTGGCACCAGGTCCGGGGATCATCGAAATAAGTGTGGACAGGAGCCAGAAGACCTGGGTGTTCTAGGCAGAGCTCTGGTCGAGGGAGACCTGAGAAAAACTTTTTCACAATAACACATCAAATGTGTTTTAAGGGGAGAGTCATACCCCGGTGTCTTCATCTGGCTTTACTACGTGTTCTTTCACGTGTACTCACTTTTATTATCTGTTCAATGAAGCTAATTTTGAGGGCTTTAACTCATTTTTTCAAAGCGGGACCTCATGGTCGCCGGTTTCTGAAACATTTAAGGCATGTTTCTCAAACTAGAATGTGGTCCTGTTAAGACGGAGATGCTGATTTCATAGGATGAAGCCTGACATTCCCATACGCTCCCAGGCAACATCCATGGTACTCTGTCCCTGTTTGATTGGCAGGGATGTTATTTTACCTTTTTAAATAGTGCCTCTGTGTGTGCATGTGAGTGTGTGTGTGTTTACAGTGCCAGGTACATCAAGGAAGTCAATCTCTGAGTTAAGCCTGAAAACCTGCATTCTCAAAGGGCAGCTCTGCGCCTAACTTTATAATCAAGTTCAGGGGCTACTTGGTTAAATGAACTTAACTGAGTTAACTTTCTGCTGTGAAATTAGGTGGATCTAGTCTTGCCCTCTTGTTCTCCTAGGTCCTAAAATGAAGCGTGACATGTTCTTACTTTACCAGGCATCTTCCCTGACTTGCAAACAGCTGCCAAGCTCTCTGCCTCTCTGTTCAAATTTAATTAGGGTCTGCTCTTCCCCTGTAAGGCCTAAGAGAAAACCTTTTGTATTATCCAAAGTTATGAGGCTCTTTCTCCAAATTAAGATCCAAAGAGCAACTTCATACTTCTTTTGGAACTCAGCTAAAAATGAAATCCAAAAATAAAATAGCATCACTTCTTTTTTTTTTACCCCATCACTGGCTTTTCTGGGACTACACCCTAAAATTCACTCTGAATTCCTTTCTTTTTCTTTTCTTTCCTTTTTTGTTAATTCTCACATGAGGATATTTTTTCCATAGATTTTCAAGAGCGGGGAGGGAGGGAGAGAGAGAGGGGGGAGAGAGAGAGGAAACCTAAGTAAATACCCTCTACAGTGTGTGCACATGTCAGGGTCGGTGAGACCTAGTCCGGGAGCCCCCTCCCCTTACGAATTGCTTCCCTTTGGTATTGCTGTGCAAGCGTTATGACTGTAGCAGGAAGGAACGTGGTTTCTCCTCCAGCCTCACGATGGTTTCCATTTCCCTTCCCCTACAGTACAAGCAAGTGGAACAGTACATGTCCTTCCACAAGTTACCGGCTGACATGCGTCAGAAGATACACGACTACTATGAACACAGGTACCAAGGCAAGATCTTCGACGAGGAGAACATTCTCAACGAGCTCAACGACCCCCTGAGGGAGGTAGGTGCCGGCCCCGGGGCTCCTGGCGCGCGATCGCCGTCCCAGGTCTCTTTCTCCCGTTTTCCCACATGCGTGCTTTTAATTAAGAAATACTGGGAAATTGTTTTGATTATTATTCTCAGAGCTGTTTATTTCTGAATCCCCAGTTACGAAGATTCCTTCCTGTGCCCTGCTCGCCCCATCTCCCCAGTCTGCCCCCCTCTTATCTCACCCTCACGTAGCCGTTTCTGTGGCTCTCTGACTCCCACTCTCCTTCCAGGTTCACTTTCCCTGCTCATGCCCTGGACTCTGCTCACAGACCCACCTCACCTGCTGCGAGCAACTCGTTTCTTACAAGCGCATTGCAGCGCTTTGCTTTGCATCCTTCCACCCGCCCCCAGGAGCCCCCCTCTGCCCCCTAGAATGTTCAGGTCACCCCTGCACCGAAAGAACCTTCTCTTTATTGTTCATATTTCTTACACTGCTTTACTCTTTTTAACTTTCTTTTACCACCAACCCTGTCCAAAGGTTCCTAATATAATCATCGCATTCGGTTTGATCTCCACTTCTTTACCCAAATTGTTGCTTTGAAGGTTAGCAGCGACTGATAAACCTCAAAACCTTGTCTTTGAGCCCTTGTTGGTAACATTGAACTGTTAACAGAACACGCATCCTGAGTCTGGGGGGTGACTAACGCTGGGCCGTGACGGAGCCGTTCACCTGACAGCCTGCCCGTCTGAATTTACTCTCTCGTTTATTTCGCCTCACAATTCAGGGCTGTAAATTTGAGCTCCAGGCTCTTGCCGTAGCTCCATTTTCTTAAAAGCTCCATGATATCACCCGGCCCCATACGTTCTGCAAGCTATTTAATAAAGTAATGCAGTCATTCAGCACCGAACCATTTGTCTTTGGAAATCTCTCTGTAAGTGTTTCAGGCCTTCTGTCAAGTCATTTGGAATAAAACGTCAGTCCTTTTTGGAAACTTTCTCTGCACATTCAGTCATCACCAAATGTGCCCATTCGCTGGGTAGCGCCCTCCACCCTCACAGCCCCTCCCCAGCACCGCCACCCCTCGTGGCCGCTGCGCTGGCCTCGCTGCCCGGCCGCTTTCTCTGCGGTGGATGCTTCGGCCAGGCCAGCTTCGTCTTCTTTTGTGGCTGCAAGCCGGTCACTGCTCTGCCCTGAAAGGCTCCGTCGCTGCATGACCCGTGAAATGGCATGAAGCCGCCGTAGGCCCCTAGCCTAGCCCTGCTGTGCTCTGACCCCAGCCAAGCCCCCAGCCTCCCTACTCCCACAGGCCCTGCGTGTTCCAAGGTAGCCCACGGCCAAACTGTGCAACTGGCTGTTTTGCAAAAATTAGTTCTAATGTCTCACCCTGGTACCAGATGTTTCCCAGAAACGTCTCTCTTGTGTTAGCAAAACCCTGTTAAGTACTTCCCTCTTGATGTCCTCTCCGACTTTCCAGGCTGGGTGTGAGCACTCATTTCTCTGTCTGATTTATGCACTCGGTCCATAAATCTAAGGTGGTACTGATCCACTCTGTCTGTATTACCACTATTTTTTTTTCATAATTGTTTTCTCCATTTCTGTCTTGGAATTTCCTTAAAAGCAAAGGCCATTTATTTTAAAACTTTTATTGAAATTCCTAGTACATGTACTACATATTAAGTACCCAATAAATATTTTCATTCCAACTCATGGCCTCACCATTTTTAACTATTCTTAATTTTCTGCATCCACTAAAAGTTACTTATATTTTTGGTTGTGTTTGTTTGAAAAACCTTAAGATATATCAGTTAAGATTTTTGGCAATAAAAGGAGCTAAGTGTCTGCTATGCTAATGGTGAGCTTATTTTCCCTCCAGAGGCCTCAATCAAATATTAATGTATACATCTTTTGGCTTTGGGAAACATAATTCAAACTTTTTGTACTTAAAAAAGTAATGTATCATTTGTTTGTTTTTTAAATCTATCTATATGCTTTGCTTTCTCTCTTTGTTGGATTACATAATTTGCATTAAATCCAAACCCCCTTTACTAAGGGGCAGAATCTCAGGACACTGGAACCAGGTTGGGTTCTCAGAGGCCTGCAGGGACTCAAAGGAGGGTGACCAGGGCCATGGCAGGGAGACATAGGTAATCCCAGAGACAGTACCAGGGGTTAAGATAGATCAAAACAGGAGAGTACTTTTACACCTAAGGATTTACTTTAGAGAAGCAGAACAAGTAAGGTTTCAGAACCAAATGTTACAGAGGGGATGCAGAAAGCTGATAGAGTGAGCATAAAAATGAACCCTAAGAATCTGCTGCTTAAATGTGAATCATTCCTCTGTACTAGAAATTCTTAATATAATATAAAATCGGATAACAAGAAAACGTTCCTAATCGTGTGTCTTATTAGCTGCCTTCTTTTGCCACACTTTCATTTCCTCTCATCATCAGTAGAGAATATTCCATGTTTCATTTTTCCCCCGCAAAGCCCCGCGCAGACATAACCCCGCTTCCCTCATTTCCTGCAGCTGTCCTGTCATCACGTTATGATGAATTTCCTTGGATTTTCAAACGTCACCGTTCGGGGTCTCAGCAGGCTTTGCCTCAGCCGTGAAGGCGCCCTCTCAGCTCTTCTCCCTGCCCCTGGCCTCAGCTGGCTCCGGTGCGTCCCATCTCAGGGCCCCCTTGCTGCCTGCTGCAAAACTCAGGGGCCGACGTCACTGTCTTCTTAGAGCCTCTCAGGACCCTCCTTCCCCTGCCAGGGAAAGCCCCGGCCTCCCGACAGGGCAGGGGTGCCCCGGGGCCGACGCCCTCCTCGTTTCTTTAGGGCCTCGCGGCCGCGGCCGAGGTGTGGATGGCGGAGTGGGCAAGGGCTGCCCCGCGTCTCCAGCCCTGCTCCGCCCGCCGCCTGCCTGCGTCAGACACTCTCGGGCGCGGCCTCCTCCCTGAACGTTCCCGGAGCGCTCTGTCTCTGTCACTGCCTGTCACCGTCAGTCGGTCTGTCTCTTTCGAAACTATGAGTTTCTTGAGTGCAGAGACTGTGTCTTAATATCTTTGTCTCTCGAGTGACCGGCTGTGGTAGGAACTCATTAAACATGTACTGGGTGAATGATCTTAATAGAATTAAGAATGAAAGACAGGGTAAGAACCAAGGCTACTTGATAGAAGTAGAGATCCTAGAAGGGGCAGCTCAGACACAGCGCCTTGAAGAAGTGAAAACCGTGGTCGCCGTTGGTTTATTGGCCCCACTTCAGCCTTTGCTTTCCTGGCGTTGGAACCACACAGAAGCCCAAATTTAATGTTATACTGAATTCTGACTTGATTAACAAGGGAGCAGGACAAGTAGAGCAGGAAAGTAGGGAAAGGAATTGGCAGAGACGTAGCAAAGGTCACCGTGCACATACAGCTTGAGTCTGAACAAGCCGGACACGGTTTCTGAAGTCCAGTAGGAGCAGGGGCGTCATATCTTGCTCCCTTTTACAAGGGAGCGTTATGTACCTGCTGTGTTCGAGGCATAGTGGTAGATCGTGAGAAATATTTTTAAAATAATAAAATACATTCTTCCACCTTTCAAAAGCTGCGTTCCACTTGGAAGATGAGGCACAAACTTATGCAAAGGTATTTCTTGGTCACTGTTGTGCTTATAGTGTCTGGAAGATGCCTGGCATATGGAAGACATTGAATGATTGATACAATAAATGTCAGATTAGTGGAGCTAGGACACTCAGAAAGGGAAAGCTGAAAAAAAAAAAAAAAAAAAAAAAATATATATATATATATACTGTGACAGAAGGTAAAAATATATGATGTGCTTTGTATACACACACACACACCAGGTGCAGTTGCTAATTGTGTGTGTGCAATTTTGAGTCAACAACCATGCGTCATAGATTGTAATAAGGCTTTTAGCTTAAAATGCATTATTATCTGGAAGGCTCATTTTTGTGAAAGTATTTTGCATAATTTGAGATCTGTTTATACTTTAGAGTACTGGTTTTTGCTAACAGGAGTCTGGGTGCTCAGGAAAGTGGTGGGTAAGTCAAACCTTCAGACTCTCCAAAACTTACACACACAAAAACCTGCTGCTTAAAAACAGAGACAGTAAAACACAATGTTTAGGAACGTGCTCCATATTCTATATTCATAATCCACTAAGTTCACATTCTGTTTTATCCACTTTGTTCCCAAGCCTTTCTTTTCGATGTGTTTGAAGACTTTTAAGTATGAAAAAATTTTAGTCTATAAATGGCAGAAAGAATTATGAATGCCTGCAACTTTTGAAAGCTCTTACAAAAATCTTCTATCATGCATTTGCAAATGAATTCAGTTAGATTTCTCAAAAGCACTTTTTTATTAAAAGTGTTCTCCTATTTCCATTTCTGTGGCAGAAGTTCGATGTTTTATCTTCTTTATATGTTGGAGAAAATTGCTGAAATGCCCTTAACGAATACCTGGCTCATGCTCCATGTTCAGATGTCAACACAAATGTTACCTCCTTGTAGAGGCCTCCTCTGAGGAGGTCGTCTACTCTAGTTCCCTACACCCGTTCTCATCACATCTGCCTTCGTCTTGTGTACATATCACTCTGTCATCTTGCGGTCCCTCTATAGATATTTCTTAATTGGTCATTCTGTTATATGACCCTGGGTCCCAGAAGACAAGAACTTTTTCTTGACTTGCACCATAACCCCAGCTCCTAGATAGTGCATTTTTAATAATTACTCACTGGATAAATAAACAAAGGCAAGTTAAATAAGGAATCTCACACTTGGCAAATCATCTTAAAGACTCATCGACTGTTAGAACTTGGAAAGAACATTTCGTCAATCAAACAGTGGCTCAGAAGAGTGACACCCACAACTATGAAGTACCGTGGTCCTAGATCTTTCTTAGTATCACTTTATACTGTGGATAGCATTGTTTCTGACATATAATAAGCAGATGCTGGCATCTTCAGGTCCCCCTGGCTTTGGGGCTGGTGCAGGCCCTATGCACCAGGAGGGCCCATTTTGCATGCAGTTGTTTATGTTT